AGATTGCTTATATCTAAAAGCACAGAGTGAGGGTTTTAAGGTCACCTTGCATACAGTTCGACCAGATGCCACATGAACAGCTTCTATCCCTTCCTTTTGATGGGCCACAACAACATTGGGAACCCACCAGAGCTGCGTGTAGTTTGTTATGGTTGGAATATAATTCATTGGCTGCATAAAAAATGTGAAAAAGGAAATTAGAAGCCATTTATCAGTTCCATGTATGGACTTTATCCTTTGCACTCTTAGACATGCAGCACAAGATAGTTGATCAAGGTAAAACAAACTAAAAGTTAAAAACATACTTGATAAGCATATCTTACATAAAAAAAACTTCAGTTTATAATACATCTGGAAGCCACTTAAGCCAAACTGATATTAAAATAAAATAAAGGAAGTGCTATGTAAGCAAAATCTTTCAGTAAATAAGTTCATTACAGGGTTGGGAGTAATAGTGCACAAGACTGGCTAAGCGCAGCAGCAAAAGGTTGCATTTGATGCATCATAGGCCAAATAAAATGTCTATGGAACAAAGAAAAACAGAGAGACAAAAGAAACATGCATAAGACAAATCTTAGGTGCCATTCCCAATTAACTACTCGTTGCACATCATCACAGCTAAGATGAAACCTATCAAATAACCATGTCCATAGTCTTTTCTGAACTTCAAAGGAAGGTTTTAACAGCAGTATGCATATCCCATTGGTAAACTTACCTTCTTAGATTTTGCTGAACCGGCATACTTCGCAGCTTTTCCAATCAAGTTTGAGATTTTTTTTGTTTCATCCTTCCCTGGAGGATTGTGTTCCTCAGGCTTGTGAAAAGGATAGGTTGTTGCCTTTCCAGGTACTCTTTTCAATGTTTTCCTCTTATGCCGCTTGAAATGTGACAACTTCAACACTGTATCCTCTCTCCTATCCTAATGAAAAAGATATATATAACATGAATCCCTCACATTCTTGAGAATACAAAGAACATAGTAAATGTTCATAACTAACATGTATTACTATGTGCTTACCCAATGATGTGGCAAAACTCCAAGGATTGATTCTCTGAATTCCCTGCACTCAACCTACAGTTAAACATGTCTTAAGAGATTTTATACTTGGGAAGATTCAACTGGATTGCAAAAGAACAATTTCAAAAGGATTATTGCCAGGAATCATCTAGGGTAAGGGGAGTGCTCTAAAAAAAAAAAAACATATCAACATAATTAGACAAACAGACAGAACTTAGATCAGTCAGAGGTTAAACAAAATGTAGAAGTCTGTGAGCAAAAGCAAGCTTTTATAGCAGGTGAATTGAGACTTGCATTTGGGTGAAAATTTGACTAAAAAATAATGGATGAATGTAACCTGGAAAACAGACACCAACCTGGAAAAATCAGCTACCAATGGTTCACTTGAACCGGGATGAGTCCATTAATAAAAAGATTTCAGCTACTATTATATTTTCCTTGAAAGCAGTTACAGGTTATATCCACCTTCAGAGAATATAATTATCCAAATGGCTTCAAAATATACCTCACCAGGATGACGACTGTTCAAAGCATGCGCATCAAGCTTGTAGTTATGTTGTGGAATTAACTGTGATGGATCTGAAGACTGGTCTTCAACATTCTGAACCAACAAATGATCATATTAGCATGTAAAGAAGGAGAAGATAGCTGATAAAAGCACTATACTCGTAAATCAGGTGACAACAATTATAAATGCGCATATACATTTTCTTAAAACCTTAAAATATGGTGAATGATTTTATTAAATTGCAAAAAGAAGTACAGACAAATAATGATAAAAATTAAAAATAACTTGTCCAAAATAAAGAAAGAAAAAACATACCTCATTCTTTCTAGACCATCGAAGTCCACCATTTCGTCCATCGAATGCATAAAAGGCAAAGTGACGTAAATTCATAGTTCCAGATTTCTCAGAAGCCTATATAGGATACAAGGTATCAGTATTCAAATCCGGAAACTAGAAGTGACATCAACTTTTTCCTAATGCCACAGATTGAAGCATTGAAGAGTGGGGCAATCATCAAGTAGCTCAGATGGAGGGATAATAGAAAACAAAAGCTATGTCCAACTTTGGCAGGTTCAAATGGTTAATGCCAAAAAACAGCTTTTAGGTAATTGTTAGACAAGTTTAAAAAGCCTAAAGTAGCAAGAAAGAATGGAACATAACAGAAAGCATAAATAACAAGTTTTAAGATTGATGCTTCATTAAGTGTAACACATGCCTGGATGATGCTAAATCCTTTTGCAGAAACCTTGAAATTCCAACATCAATAATAACAAAACAAGTAGATGGCTAACATCAATGGACACTGATACATGCATACCTCCTTCTCAATTGCACTTCTTCTATGCTCCTCAGCATTTCGTTCTGCCGTCCCAATTTCTTCAAAAGGATCCAGGTATATCTGAAAATGTTGTTAACTACTCAAAGAGGAGTAATGCAAAAAATTCGCTCTACACATCATATATCCAGGTCTTGATAATATTAACACTGGAATGCAAAAAAGTTACGAAAAAATGGTTACTTTGTAATTGAAATATAATAGTGGTCAGAATCCAGACTCGATGAACAGAAAAGTACCACTAGATTTAACGAGTATAACCAGAAAAAGAATAAATGCTACTACAACATACATGGGGCTGCATTTCCATCCTCCCACCAACAATGACTAAACCTGAATCCCCGTGCCTCAAGGTGTAATTGCTTATTGAAATTGCTATCTCTCTATGATGCGCGTTATGTGGAAAAGCCTCCTATCCAACATCAGAAAACCCAAGACTATCAAAAACAAAACTATTTGACAACAAGTTACAGAAGATCAAATACAACCACGCAAAGCATACAAACCTGCAAATTATTCTCCCATAACTTTTTGAGATTATGGTCGAAACACATAACAGACCAACCAGAAGTAACAACAACCAGAACCTGCTTCTGAGGTTGTCCAGTCTTATAAGTTCGATCTATAACACCGGTGGCCATAGCCACGGGGCGTCTACCGGAAGCAACCCTGATCTTATCAGGCAACAAGGACACCTCAGCCAGCAAACGCGCTTCACTGAATCCTTCATCGACACGCCGAGCGTGAGGCTCCAATATCTAGAAGGTTCCAAATTCAATCAAATTAATACTTTAAAATAAACTATGTTTATATATTTTTTAAATGATTTATTTTATAGAAAAATAATAACTTGAATTTTTGCATCGTGAGTGGCAACGAGGATTTCTTTCTTTCCGTCGCCGTTTAGATCGGCGACGTGAGGCGGAGGGAGACGCTCAGCTTCGTATTTGATCGGATATTCATCGGATAAATGAAACCACGCTTCTCTAAACGAGAAATCTCCCTCGTGCTACACAAAAAAGTTAAATTCCAGTGAAGTTAGCGTGGAATTGAAGAGCTGAGGTGCTTCTAGGGTTTATGGTTCATGCAGGGATAAAAGTAAAGAGAAACAAAATAAAAAAGGAAATAAAAGGACCTGAAGAGAGAAGAATATGGCGAAAGCTGAGAGCATAAGAATAGCTAAATCTCGTTTCCTCATGGCGGTTTTGAGAGTTGAAGTCGCGGCTCCGTCGAAGGATCAATGGCGGAATGGGGACAGCACAGCTGATGCAAACACTGGCAACGGCTTTGAGGCGGTTCAACTGAACCGAGCTCTGAGGAAGACAAAACAAGGACTGGACAAAAACCGGATTGGATTTGGGGGTTCGAGCTGGAAAATAAAGATGTTGGGAAATAAATGGGCCAGAGCCCATTGAAACAATAAGCCCAAAATCATACAACCACCTCAATAATCAATTTTTTTCTTAATTGCAAGCGGCAAAATAATTTTTGCATATTTTTCCTTTTTTTTTAGGTGTTAAATCTGAATCACCGAAACAGAACTACAAGAAATCTAATTCTAATGCCACGTGCTAGAAAATAAACAAATAAATATATATATATAGACACACGTGGAAACTCACATTTAATTTGTAAAATATTATTTATTTTAATAAAAAATTTTCATATTTTATCTCACAATATTTTAATTTAAAAATTTCACATTTTGTCTCATAAAAAATATTTTTTGTGAATAAAATTTTGAGATTTTTAAATTAAAATGAATAATGCTTTTTAAATTAGATACGAGTTTTTATAAATAGTATCAAAGTAATTATTAATTTGATAAAAATTAAATGCTATATTATATGAGTCACTTTTAAAATTTTATAGAGTTATATGCTACATGATGAAAATCACTTGTAGAATCTTAACGTTCGGCGTGAATTTGATTTTGTGATTTTGTGTTTTATGATGAGTTTAAAGGGAACATCAAGTTTTAATAGGATAATTTGTGATATTTTAATATCATATTTAGAAATTATGAGGATTTATTATGTTATATATGTAAAAATTTAAATTTATGAGTAATTTTTTATGAAATAAAATTATGAAAATTTTGAATTAAAATCGATGTAGATCTCCAAAAAAAAATTTAATATGCTTTAAAAAATATGTATCACTTTATGGTTTGTTGCCTTATCATCACATGAATTACTACTCAATCTGAAGTCCACATTTTGGTTTGCTTTGTGCCTAAACATTGCTTCTTGCCTATCAAATACCAACCAGGTTATTATTTATTTCTTTTTGTTTCATTTCTCTCTGCCAAATCAAATTTTATGATTTATTTTACAGTAAAAAATTTCATGCAAGTGCATGACATAGTAACCTTCTTTCCTGATCTGTTCCTATTCAATTCAAAATCAGCAAACAAGGAAAGTTAAAGGAAGAGATTGAAGAACTCTTTAATACATCTCTTTCATCATGCATGAATAAAGTATTGGGCTTTTTTCTTTTTATGAAATGCAAAAAGACAGGAAATTAGGACTCTGTCAGCCACAAATAAAATTGTTGTACTGTTTTATTATAAGCTTTGATTACAAAGTTACTTGTCGTTTTCTAATTAATTATATACACCATATTAGCATCCTCTCAATTCTCACCATTTGCCCTTTTGCAAGGTTTTCAACTCCCCCTGCTCTGCTCCATTTGCTGAAGCTAGCTCTGGCTTGGCCTCTGCCGCAAGAATGTGTAGGGTGCCTGAACGAGCAAAGCTGCATATTGCCATGACAGTTTTTCAGCTTGGTTATGCCGTGAATCATGTGATTATGAGAGTTGCTCTTAATATGGGTGTAAGCAAGCTAGTTTTCCCCTTTTATAGGAACATCTTAGCCCTGCTTGCCCTAGCTCCATCTGCATATTTCCTAGAAAAGTATGTTATTAATTTCAGTAGAACGTCAAGAATCTTTATCAATTGTGTTCTGTTTTCTTCACAATTTTAATTCTCTTCTCCTTTGCTTTACAGGAAAAAAAGACCAGCTCTGACCATTTCTTTTCTGATACAATTCTTCCTGCTTGGATTCATAGGGTACATATGAACCACTTGTGAACATTATTTCAGTTTTATGAATGAAGTTGTCAACTGGTTTCCTGTTTTGGCAGAATAACATTGAATCAAGGATTTTACATATTTGGTTTAGACAACACATCGCCTACATTAGCTTCTGCTACGGAGAATTCTGTCCCAGCTGTGACTTTTATCATGGCTGCCATACTTAGGTGGGAGATCTGGCTATCTTCGTTACTTCCCCCAATTGTAGATTAATTGTGTTTCTTTCTTTACAGGATGGAACAAGTGCATTTGAACCGTAAAGATGGAATAGCTAAGGTGCTTGGGACTCTTGCTTCCGTCGCTGGAGCTTTAGTCATAACCCTCTACAAGGGCCCAGCTGTTTATAGTCCAAATTCACATTCAAATAAGTCAGATATTTTCTCATTTGGAGATGCTAAGGAGAAGAACTGGACAGTTGGTTGCATCTGTCTTATTGGGCATTCCCTTTGTTGGTCAAGCTGGATCGTTTTACAGGCACCGGTCCTGAAGAAATACCCAGCTCGGCTCTCATTCGTTTCATACTCTTGCTTTTTTGCTGTTATGCAATTTGGGGCAATTGCAGCATGCTTTGAAAGAGACTCCAGATCTTGGCAGGTTCACTCTGGCGGTGAAGTGTTCACTATTTTGTATGCGGTTGGTAACCTTAAAATTAACCACAGTTTAATCCTTCTATCTGTGAGCTTACGATTTCTTTCAGAACAATGATAGAAATGTCTGATGCGCAGGGCCTGATAGCTTCAGCAATGGTGTTTGCAATACAGATATATGTTGTTGATAGAGGCGGTCCTTTGTTTGTCTCAATGTATCTTCCTCTGCAAACCTTACTTGCCGCTGTAACGGCCACTGTTACTTTGGGTGAAGAATTCTACTTGGGAGGGTAGGCCTTGACATGCAAACTATCTAGCCAAGCATCCAATGTTACCTGCAAAGTTTCTTGCTTCAATCTCTGAATTTTAGAGTCGAAAAATGGATTGTTTAATATTGATTTATCTTCTTATGTTTGATATTGTCCTTTTTTTTTTTGCTAAATGAATCGATTTGCAGGATTCTTGGAGCAGCATTGATTATAGCTGGAATGTATCTGGTTATCCTAGGAAAGAGTCAGGAGAGCAAGTTTCTGTCAGAAATGGATCCCATTTTCTCGTTGTCTGAGAAGAATCAAGTAGAAGATCCAGTCGAATCCTCCCTCATCCAGCCCTTGCTTCCTGCCCCAGGGAAATAAGTTGCCGAGCTCAGGCCCATGAACACCTTCAGCTCCTCCATTCCAAAACTAGTAATCAGGATCAAGTGAAGCAGCTACTACTCAAGGGACAAAACCAAATGCAAAGATTGGAGAGAAACACACATCAATCATGGAGTTTGAATTGTTATGATCATCATTCATCAGAGATGACATATGAAGATGCCTTTCAATGGAATTAATTTATTAATGTTAACAGAAACCCGTAAGACGCCTTCTGTGAGCTGCAATAGGCAAAAGCAATTTTTTTTTAATAATATTAGTGAATTTATTATTATATTAATATTGTGGAGCACATTTAGATGTTGAATTTATTATTATTGGATATGAAATAATTTTATTACATTAGTGTTGTTCATGAGACTGACTTACTGCACAAAGTATACCATTTTTTTTCTTTTTTTTTTGGTTTAATCATGCAATTTTGGTTTTTTTTTTTTTTTTTTTTCTTCTAATTGATAAGTTATACCTAAAAACAAATTAATATAAGATAAGGATAAAAATTTTAAAAGTTTAAATTTGCATAAAATATTAAAATAACAAATTTAATCTTAATTTGATTTGATAATTATTTTTTTTTGAAGATTGAGGTTTCAAAATACTATTAAAATTTATAAGAAAATTATCAAAATTATATCCAAAATTATTAAAATTATATTAAAAGTTATCGAATTATATAAGATATTAAAAAACTATATTAAACATCATAACGAAGGTTACCATGATAATTATTTTTTTAAAGGATCGAATTTTCAAGATCGAATATTCGCTCCCATTACATCTGTACTTATCATAAGTTAGAAAAACAAAAGGAATTATATAAAAGCATAACTATTAAACAAACACATGATACACTAATCATAAACCGGTACAGGGTAGGAAATCAAATTCCATTACCCAAACATACCACAAATTTTAAACAGGTGCCGCACGCCCTTTTTGACCCATCGCTTGGGTACCCGATTCCTGGACTTTCCGCTGGATCTGCGTTTCTCTATCCGACAAAGGTACGCTCTAATCTCTCGTTCTCTGCATCTATTTCCGGAGCTCTAGTTTTCAATTTATGAATAATCATGCTTTATCAGTTCATTGAAAACTCTTTTCGTTACTCGAATTTTCGCCCGTTTCTTTTGTTCGTTGAATTCAACCCTCTCTCCGTCGCTAATGGATGATTGATAAAAAAAATTATAAGAAATTTTAAATCCGGGTAGAAACAATCGATTTGGGTTTTCTGAAAAAGCTGCAACATTTGTAATTTTGGGTGACAACAGTTCGATCTTATTCGATTCGATTTTTTTTTATAATATTATGAATTTTAAAATTTCATTCTGAATTCAAATTGATCGATCGGATTTTGATATAAAATTTTAATAAATTTAAATAGAGTTTGATATAAAATATTATTTTTATTATATAAAAATTTTAAAAATATATAAAAGTTAATAAAAACAGTTTAATTCGGCTATAAAATATTATTTTTATTATATAAAAATTTAAAAAATATATAAAAGTTAATAAAAACAGTTTAATCCGATTTTTTAGATTTTTTACCTTTTGATCCAAAGTTTGAACCGAACCTAATTGTACATTTAATATCTAAATTTAATTTAAATTAAATAAGAAAAAAACTGACCTGAATTGAATATTATTATTTCGAATTGATTTTGGGTTTTTTCAAATTTTTTCTCACCCCTATATATAATTTTCAATTGGTGTACTTTTATTTATTTCTTTTGCAATTTTAGGACAGTTGGCAATGGAAGAACAAGTAGATTCTGATCACCAGCCGATGGTGGAAGATGGTTTTCCTTTTCCACATGGTATGAAAATTGATCCAAGAAGGGCACGGTTTCCATGCTGCATTGTTTGGACACCTCTACCTGTTCTTTCATGGTTGATTCCTTTCATTGGCCATGTTGGGATTTGCAGAGAAGATGGAGTTATTCTAGATTTTGCAGGGCCTAATTTTGTTTGTGTTGACAATTTCACCTTCGGGGCAGTGGCTCGCTATATCCAAATAAACAAAGATAAGGTATTGTGTTCCAACTCTTTTTTTGACTCCATCAGTTCTATTTCTTCTTGAATTTTGTTCATTGATTCCAAAGAGGTTGCAATATGGGAAAATGACATGATAACTTTGACAGGATTAAGAATTCGGAAGTAGGGTTTATTGATTCTGTTGTGCTTTACCTGAACTGCACACTGTAAATTCATGTGCTTTTTGATAATTTGTGAATGCACTATGGCAGATGTGAGGGCAAAACATTCGAAATTGGTAGCTAAGGATGGTGTCAATGACAAGAAATAGGTTGCTGAATATAACTCGGGTTTTTTTAATAATTCATGACTGCACCTCTGTTTGGTAAATTTTAGAGTAAAAAAATTCGAGTACCAATAGCTAAGAGTAGTGCCAATGACAGGAACTGTGTGGATGTTAGCATTTCTGCTTGAGTATTTCTTTCTTAATCATTCTTCCTCTGTATCACATGTGACCTTTGGAGTTTTTGCTAGGAATGCTGCATTTCTCCCCATTCCTTTGCATTTAAAGGAGATCAAGAATACCAGCATGATGATCCTAGGAGAGAGACGTTAACATGGAATGATGCACTACGAAAAAGCACACAAGAATTCCAACACCGGTCATACAACCTTTTCACTTGCAATTGCCATTCTTTTGTAGCAAACAACCTGAACAGGTTAGGCTTTCGATCTGGTGAGTGGAATGTAGTGAACCTTGCTGTTCTCATCTTCCTCAAGGGCCAGTGGGTGAGCAAAACAGCATTTTTGCGATCTTTCTTGCCATTTGTTATAGTATCCGGTCTTGGACTTGCATTTGGTGGCATGACATACCTGTCTTTCTTAGCCCTCTTTGCATCCCTTCTTGTTGGTTGGTTCCTTCTTGGTACTTACTGTTTCAAGAATTTGATCCAATTGTAGCTTTTCAACTCTCCAACTCCGTTAATATAGAAGATTTGCTTGGAATATTCATGCATGCACTTGTAGAATATCGAAAATAGTAGACAATGCTTAGGCTAGACTAGGCTATTACATGGAAGTTGTAGTCTTTGTTGCTCTCCTTGCTAATACAAGCCCATTCAAGTTCTTGCATTTGTTTTATCGAGTACAATGCATAGACGAAGGGAGCAATATTGTGATTCAATAGTAAGTAGATATGACAATTTATGTATTTATATTATGTAAAATATTGATAATTTATTTATTTATATTGTATTTTATATAAAAATTACATATTATAATTCATATCAATACGAAAATATGAAATATATATTTTTTTATTTTATTAAACTCATATAATTTTATTAAAATTTTAAAATATTATTTTTATATTTTTTATTTATATTATTTTTATATCATCATATTTTATTTTAAATTATCAGTTTTAACGGTAAGGCTGTGACAGACACCTCCTGTTGGACGAGATAATTTTCTTTTTCTTTATGCAAAAGCGAACCTCGATATGTAAAAAACCTGCCATCGTGGTGTTAACTGAAAATTTTGGATTGGCTTTGCCTTTGGGCCTTGGCAGATGATTTATGCTAAATCCAACGTCTTCTTTAGTGGTTTTTGTTGCATATATTCCTTTTTGTCTCTTAAACGTCGTCTTAGTCATTTAACAAAAGGGTTTCCATTTTTGACATTTCAAGAACATTCCAAGTTTCTAATGCCGAAGAAGGATTTCTTTTTTTGAGAAGACTTGTGCTTGATTATCCATTAAGTTATTTACCAATTAAGAATGTCTTCATTAATGTAATTCTTAATTGGGTGATTAAGAGGCTTGTTGAAATTTGAAAAAAAAAAATTCAATCTATCATAGAGAATAAGATTGGGAGGCGTCATCGGTAGTTTTTGGAAATGCATTTTGATATTCAAATTAATGAGATACGTGAGAAGGAAGTAAAGAAGTAGCGAATATGATATCTATTTAGTTTGGTTTTTTCTCTTATACTTATAGATAATGGTTGTTTCTTTTTCTTTGTTTGATAAGTATTGAAAGAATTGGAGTAACATTTATAGTTAATAATTTTTAATTTCGTGGAATAACTTTTTTTTTAGCTAATTAAGGCTGCATTTGGATTCAACTGAACCCACAGTGAGGTGCAGTTGGAAATCAAAAGGCCAGCTTTGCAATCCAAATGAAATCACGGTGAGGCACGGTTGGAGGAATCTATCGTGCCATACCTCCAATCAGTGAAAAATTATTTCTTCTGCCGTAGCTACGTCTTTTAATATTATCCCCGTTTTTCCTTTTTTACCCTTGAACATATGCTTTAAGGACCAAAATATTCTTGTCATTTTATCTTTCATTTTTTTGTTCAAAAACTATAAATGATTTTGTCAATTCAGTATAATAAATAAATAAACGTTTTTATAATTGAGTAATTAATTAAAATAAAAAAATACATAAAAATATTTTTATTATTTATTAATTTTTATAAGTAAAATAATTTAAATTTTTATTACATATAAAATTTTAAACTAATATCTTTAATGATCATTTTTTATCTTATTAAAATTTAGCTTATCGTTCATCATTGCATTTGTATTTAAACATATATTTTTATCATTGATTTTAATCATACTTTTATAATAATTAATTATACCTTTATCATTATTCTTAATCTCATCGAAATTAATTTCACCATCTATCTAAATGGATCATAAATTTAGAGTTATAATTATTATAAAATTTAATATTAAATTTTATCACGAGGTATAATTTTTTATTTTATTTTCATATTAAGGCTTCTTTTATATAACAAAATTATTTTGTCATATTTCTATTTGGAATCCATTGCAACTAAAAATATTAAGACAAATGAAAAAATAATAATAATACAAAAATACAAAAATGTTAAGAGCAATTGAAAAGTTATTACGTAAATAGAAAAAACTAGGAAGCGGGCGGTCGCACACTAAGAATGAAAACAATCCAATACCACCAATTCTGGTATGATCTTAGCACCGTCGATCGACTATTTCAACAATTCTCCTAATCTAACGGTTGAAACAGTAGATCGTACAATACATAAACTTAAAATTTTCGAAAAGGTGCGTGTCGTTACTTGCATGGAATCTCCGTACGTGTCCCCAACTAAAGAATGGCAGAACCGTAATTACAACAAAAGCTTCATTTGCCTATTTAAACAAAGCCAGAGAAGAGTTGTCAAAACAGAGGAAAGCGTTTCTTGCTTGGTTATTTATTTTAGTGTATCAATTCTGTTTTTAAAAAAAGGTTTTTTTTTTCTCTTTTTTTCAAGAGCTAAGCAAAAATGGCTGCAGAGGAAGGACAAGTGATCAGTTGCCACACACTTAAGTCATGGAACGAGCAGCTTCAAAGTGGCAATGAATCCAAAAAATTGGTAATTTATTTTATTTCCCCAGGTCCTTTTTTTTTCTATATTTTGTTTTATGTTTTATTTAGCTTTATATTTATGATTATTTTGATATTTAATATGATGGGTTTGGTAAGCTAAGATGATGGGTTTAGTATGCTTTCATTTGCTTCAAATAATCTTTTTTTATGATTTTTTTTTAATTTATAGGGAAATTTGAATGGTGGGTTTTGGATTTAGATTTGTATAATCTAAAAAAAAAATTCACGATCTGTAAAGTTGAAGCTTTTTTTTTTTATTTTAATAATCTCTCAGTGGATTCAATATTTGTCAGTCCATTTCACATGTAAAAACTTGGATTGCATGGAGATTGGATGATTAATGTATATTCTTGACATATAAGTAGTGTACTTAAAGCATGGTTGTTGTCCCATATTTTGTCGCTGTGTGTTTCTAAGAGGATAGTTGACAAGCCAAAAACTAGGTTGTCAGTACATGGATAAATCAATGAAAGATGTTAATGGTGATGTTGGTGTTTGTTCCTTTAGAAATGGCATGTGAATTTTCACCTATATGGTAAATGCAGGTGGTGGTTGATTTCACTGCTTCATGGTGTGGACCCTGCCGTTTCATTGCACCTTTCCTGGCTGAACTGGCCAAGAAGTTTCCCACTGTCATGTTTATTAAGGTGGATGTGGATGAGTTGAAGGTAAATGCAGAATTAAAATCACAATTAGGGGGGGGGGGGGGGGTAATGATCAAGAAGTGAAAACGTTGATGCAAGTTTGATTTTTCTTGTTTTCAGGAGGTTGCTACCGATTGGGCTGTGGAGGCTATGCCAACTTTCATGTTCCTGAAGGAGGGGAAGATTGTGGACAAGGTGGTGGGAGCAAAGAAAGATGACCTTCAGCTGACTGTGGCAAAGCATATGGCTACTACTAGTTCTGCTTCTGCTTGATGATGATAATTATTAGTACTATCCTTCATGTTTGGTGGAATCTATTATTACAGAACTCATCATTATGTGCTGCTACATCTCTATGTTATACCTCAAGTTTGTCTTTTGAGTTTTTTTTTTTATCTTTATCTGCATATGACACAACATTACATAAAGCTAGTTTTTGATGTTTGATGTGATTTGAGAATTTCTTAGTACCACTTGCCTATATGCTGGTTTCATTGCCATGGAAATGTATGTTACTTCTTCAAGGGGACCATATTCAGAAACTCATTTGACCTGGGTTGGTTGCTGATATCTATTTTCAATCTTGATGGGACCTCCCGTGTTCAGAAACTTCTAGTTGATGGATTATTAGGTACTTCGGTTTTATCGGGAGATAATCTACGCGTATACTGTCAATATCTCAGATTGTTTGTCAGCCGACAAAACTGATGAGACAGTACCTTTGATGAATTAGAGCCTCAGATTTAGATGGGAGTTGGTAGCATGTCAAACTCAAAATGGCTTTTTGGAAAATTCAAACCCGGACTAGTGCAAAGAGGATTGAGATTGATGGACTGGTATTGCACTAATTGGAGTGGATAACATCTCAGGAGGTTGATGACATTGGATTCTAAGTTGCAGCTGTGAATTTCTCCATTTTTGGCTGTTTCAGCTTTAACAGGGGTGTGGGAAACATGATATAATGATAACATCAAATTTTCCTCTGTAATCAATCAGAAGGAAAGACAAGGAAAGCTGAAAAAAGGCATTTTAATCAAGAATTGCACATAAAACAGTGGCCACACTAGGAACCGCTCCCAACATGAACCTTACTGGGGTTAAAATTTTCCCCAGTGATACAAACAGAAATCGCATACAATTTCTCGTTCTCCAGTGCCCATATCCGGTTAAAAGGCTGGGGACACAGGCCAGAAATTTCACCTCAGGACCCAAATTGCAGGACCCCTAGAATTTAGAATCACTAATATACAGGACTCGATTAACCTCACTTAAATTAACATTAAACAACTAATTTCCTATAGCACTGAACACCTTTAGCCAGAGCCTTCCATTTGAAAGGCTGTGGCACTCAACCTAACCTAAATAAACGCCTATTCTATGCACTCTTCCTTTCATTTCTTTGCTGCTTGCTTCAAACGCTGATAGTGAATAGTTAAATTACTAGATGCAAACGTTATGGAGTGTTTCTGTGAGTCATGCAATCTGATTAGCCTCCCCAATTTGGCTCCGCTGTTGTTGAAGACATAGGAGCACAAACAGCTTCCACTGACAACCGCTTCAACACATTTGGGCATGGATCTTGCCCAAAGTTACTGTTGGCTATGGTGACCGCACATCTTTGCTTCCCTATACACTTCTGTGAAACATCCGATAGTAGAACATGGTGAGAAATGCATGCATGTAAGTTTTAGTTTATCTGTTGACAAGAAAGTTAAAATACCTTCTCCAAGATGGCATATGAAGCAGGAGCATGGCAAGGGCCTTGCTGGTAACTTCCACAAGTTCCCAAAGGAGTTCCAAAGCTTGCAAATTTAATGAAAGAGATAGACTGTCCAGGATTACAGCGCAAGTGAAGCTTCGGTCTGCGAAACTCTTCTGCCTTTCCATAGCTTTGAATCTGCCAGTTCTTAATATTTGGGTGATACTCAGACACCTCAGCACAAACACTGGACATAGATCTTTTTACAAGTGAGATTCTTGAGGGATCGCCTCCAAGCTCCTCAAAAAGAACCAACAGATTTTGTGTAGGTTTCAACCAAGACCGAGGAACATGGTACCTGAAAAAAGAAAAACAATTAGGAATTAAATGATGAAAATATATATTAATTTAAGGCCATTATCTGTTCGTTACACAGAGTAGAAAGATTTCCGTATATCTAGGGCCCTAAGGATAGTTACCATCTTTGGGTTGGTTGGCCACAGCCAAGCTGACACTTTGGTGGTCGAAACGTCCCAGCATAACTGCAGTCGTTGCAGTCACCATGAGCATATGCAGTCCAATATCTACCAATGCTCTGCCCATTAATCCAGATTTGACCTTTTCCCATACTCTCCATGTCCAAAGCCAATGGCTCGTCACCCTCAGGTGCATTGAAATAAGCCTGCAACATTCAAGGGAACAGTTTCGAACTTTTTAGAAGCCACAACTCATGCTGCAAATACCTATACTTTTCATTTTAATTTACCTTATGCCATCGTAATGGCTGCTGTTTTTGTGCAGCCAATGATCCCTCCATCCACTCAACAGAGGAAATACCATTTGGTGAGACAAGATTCATGGCCTCTCCTTTAAGCCCAACCTGTTCAAAGGGGCATTCATGACAAAACTTATTTCAATCAAAATAATGAAGACATCAAAGATAGAGATGTCAATTCCACTACCTGGTACGTCCATTTTTGCCAGGACAGGTCCCATTTTCCTTGGTCAAGTCCATGCAATGCAACTGGACCTAGGATTCCTGTGTTCCATGTCTCAAAGTGTCCCCCAACATTCTTCAATCACCAAAAAACTGTAGTCAGTTTACCAATAGAAAACACAATAGCCATAGCATTCTTTTTTTCTTTTCCCAATTTTCTTTTGCTTCATTTTACAAGATAAAGTTGAAATCAATAAAGCTGGTCGTAGAAAATTCGCAGTTCAGAGTATCATCTCAGTTATTTTCCAACTACAAGGCTTGGTAATTTAATCAATTCAATACATAAAGGAAATTCTCCATTATATAATGGCTTCAGCTGTGAAGGTTTTCTACCCTTTTCCGTCCCCTGGTTAGTTTGCTCCCACAAAGGAAGAGTATGATGTTTTGGCCAAACAAATCTCAGGTTCAGTTAAAAGTATTTGCTATTAAGATAGGACCTGAAGACTTCAGTGAGTGTTCATTGAATGATATGCAAATGTGCCACAGGAGTTTCCAAATTGTTCATGACTTGAAGTATAAAATGATAAAGGTTGGGGAGAAAAACTAACTGGCAATCCAACAGCAACACTCAGCAATGCAATTCTGTTTGTTCCTGCACGTAGATTGACCTTCCCAGTGTATGTGAACCTCCTATTTTCCCTCGTTCCAAAGGCAGAACCTGTTACCATCATGTTGTGATTTTTATTTCTGAAAAGCAAAAAATGACAATCCAGGGAAAAGGCAATATAACTATGTACCTGAAAGTTGTCCATTGATAAAGATGTGAACTGCATGGCCTGTTGATTGAGCAATGAGAGTGGGGAGTTCACCTCCATGAAGGAAGGATTCAGTTGAACCAATATCGACACTAAAACATATAACATCTAATTGTGAGACATTTCCAAAATGTAAGAGTCAGTAAGCATCATAAAATCTTTCAGTGTCAGTGATAAGACTTTTACATCATAAAATGTAAATGCTGCTCAAAGACATTTTGTTTTTCAGTGAATTTCTAACATGTTGAACACAAATTCAGGCAAAGAATGCAGAAAGGCAAGTTCTAATAAAAGTTTCTTCAATAGACATTTCCCCTTCTCTCCCCCCCCCCAAAAGAAAAAGAAAAAGGGAAAATCTTTATGCTGTTTCTTCTCAATTTTGATTTGATCTTAAAGGAAGGAACAAAATAAAGGGATAGCAAAGCAAACCGACCCGTCCCTAAAACGATAAAGAACGGGAAAGAAAGGAACCAAATGTAAATTGAGAATGAGGAAAAAACAGAAATTTCCTTCAAATCTAACTATGGGGGCATCAGTCTCACCTAGTAATGTACCATAGGTAATCACTTGCATCCCTTGTGACATTTATTTGCTCTAATAGACCATCAGCAGTTATCGTTAAGCTGTCATCCAGTGAAGAAGTATCTTCATCATAACTTTCCCATGAGAACATCTTAGCATTTGTCGGCAACATCTGCATTTGTGATGTCTGAACTCCAACCTGAAAAGGACAAGCATGAGTTATTGTTATTTAAGAGAACCTTGAACTTTTTTTTTGGTACATGATCCTTGAACTTTTTAATGCCAAGAATTAGATGTCCTTAAAAAATCTGCTTCATTTACAATAATACTGAAACTGGTCATGCAAATTCACTCATTTCACAACACCGTACCTTTGCAGTATTGAAGACTGCATTCCTGCAATCAGGAAGGATGCTGATGGACCAAGGAGGCAAGTTATAGTGCATGTTGTTAAATAACACTCTTGCAGTGGATTTGGTATCATAGTTCGATAGGAAAGCTGCACAATCTCCTGATTCTGATGTGTACATATGAGCCTGGAAAATGCCAAACATTGACTAGATTCACTAAATAATTAAAGATACTACATCTGCTGGAAGCAGGGGACTTTGAGAATAAAAGCCGAAACCTGTTGGAAGCTTCCAAGTGAAGTAATAATGGGATCAGCTGAAACTAAAGCTCGCTCACACATCTTAATAGCCCTGTGGAGCTCCTTTAGATGACCATACTTTGGTTGCCTAATCAAACCTGTCATGTTTTTGTAGGATGTAGTTAGTAATGCATTAGTGTGGCTATCTAAACCTGATGGCCTTCACATAAATGCAAGATGATATAAAAATGGATGAGGATGAATTAGAGGGTAGGCAGTGGGGATTGGGGAAGAGTGTGTAACAGAATAGGAGACCATTGTATTCCCATTTGGTAACCCAACTAATGGATCAAATGAAATAAGTATATAAGCAAACATCAGCAGATACAAGCAAATAAGAATTGAATTTATATTGTTTTCAGTTCAAATACTATTGTTGTGAGGCACAGACTGTGAGGTGCGAACCATTTGAAGTGTTAAAAGTGCAATATCAAACAAACTGAAAACAATTAAGGAAGATGTAACAATTCTTCAATATTTTAACAGAACAAACTACATGGAAATAAGCATATAGCTTTTTTTTTCTTCTCACCATATTCATCTATTGGAGCATCATAATCGTAACTGGTAGTGATGAAAGGGCCTCCAGCCGTACGTCCAAAATTAGTCCCTCCATGGAACTGTTTCACATGGTAAACACGCAACTCAGTTAACGAGAATCCGCTTTTCCATTGAAAATATTTCATGCCCAATGACAAAGAGAGAGAGAGAGAGAGGGGGGGGGGGGGGAACCAACCATGTAATAATTAACAAAGGATCCTCCTTTTTGTATGAATCGGGCAACAGCAAATGCCAAATCCTCAGCTGGCCGATGGTGAAGTGGACCACCAAACTCTGTGAACCTTTTGCATAGATGAAG